TAAATTCAATCCCTAGAAATTATGGTAAAAATTACTAGGATAAAAGAAAAAAAATACATGTTTTGCCATTAGAAGAAGACCAATATATATATGTAATCGTATATTATTCTATAGTTATGTTACAAAAGATGTCACTAGCAACTAGTGCTACACATGTAATTTTGCAATATCAACTCATTTCAGTCTACATAGATACAGCACATACTTTATTTTGCAGTGGCTGACATTATAAAAGTAAATGTTGGTCATTATAATTATAATGCATAGCACTAAGTGTTTGACTTTGTGATAATATATGTTCTATATTGCTTTTAAAACTATATGAAAATTGTATTTTCATAAATCGTTACGCAAGTAGAAAAAACAACGGTAATCACGGCTGACTTTGTGATTGTTGGCGGAGGTACTGCTGGATGTGTTTTGGCTGCTCGATTAGCTGAACGCGGTTTTGAAACGCTTCTCATATCCAGTGGTTCCAATGACACGTCAAATCCAATGATGAGACAAAAATCGGAATTCGCTCGCTTACAACGTACTTTGTTCTTCAAACATTATTTACCTTCAAACGCCTCACCGAATCTTAATAATCGAACTTTGGATGCTATAGTATGGAAGACACTTGGGGGAAATAGTGTGAACGGTGGTGGAATGGAACGAATGATGGCAAATGATTGGAATTCTTTTGTTGATGCAACTAGAGATACATCTTTTCATCATGAAAATATGTCTAGATATTACAAAATGGTTGAAAATTTTACATCAACTGACTCATCACTAGTTTCCAACATTCATGGTAACAATGGTCCAATAAAAATAACTCAAGCTCATGATACTATATTCAAAGAAGTATGGAAAAATGTTGCTCATGAACTCAACGAAGCATTTAGTGAGGATTTAGCAGATAATATGGACCACGGTTTATCATTTGAACCTTCATCATATACCGATGGATTGAGAAGTTGGAGTGGTGATGCTTATTTGACTCCTAACATAGCCAAATATCCAAATCTGAAAGTTATGACAAGTACCACTGCAATAAAGTTTAATTTGAATGAAATAACTAAGCGCATAGATAACATTTTATTTCTATCATTCGACGGCTTCTTTTACGGTGTCGCCAAAAAAGAATATATTTTGTCTGCTGGTACATTCTACAGTCCTCATATACTCATGTTATCAGGTATCGGTGATCCTGAAATTCTTCAAAAGCATCAAATTCCAGTGAAACATGAATTGAGACAAGTGGGCAAGCATATGATGGATAATGGTGCAATAATTGTTCGATATAAAACTGAAAATCTTCCCATCAACCAATCGATACCAGTTGGCTTAGTCAATACTCAACTGCCCACAACACATATCAATCCTGATATGTTTTTTATGCTAAAAATGGATGTACAATCAAAAAGTCTCAATGTTTTGATATTTAACGCTTCACCGAAATCTACGGTCGGCTCTATTTCACTGCACAAGGCTGATCCATTGACGCCACCCAAAATAACTTTAGATTATTTGAAAGACAAGCAAGACTTACAAACATTTATTGATAGCATTCATTATGTACGCAAAGTTATGTCAACCAATGCGCTAGAAAATTTCGGTCCCATCATTGAGATTCAACCCGGACTGCAAAACATGAACTTATCTAGATATATTACAGATACATTGTCCCCCGCTTATCATTTCATTGGCACATGTTCTATGGGACGAAACGCTCAGAATTCTGTTGTTGACAACTACTTCAAAGTACATGGACTAAAAAACCTTCGAATTGTAGATGCATCAGTTTTTCCCGCTGGTTTTGCATCGAAAACGGGACCTTGTTTAACCATATATGCCTTAGCAGAAAAAGCGGCCGATCTTTTGTGTGAAGAACACTTATAGAGTATATTATGGATGATATCTATATGTTTGATTGACAAGCAGAATTCAAGGCTTGATATTAAGAAAATCATAAATAATAAACACTAATAATATTTAACTAAAGAACTCAGTAATAGCAAATGCTATGTTCTTAAAACTACTTATACTTCTCTACATAACTTGTGTCATGTAAAGATTTAAATTACTCGAGGTATGAGGCTATTTTTAATTCAACTTAGTTTCAAGAAATCATAAGAAAAATGGCATGGAAATACTAACATATGAAAATAACTCAATATAAGACTTCGTTTTCATGACTTGATGAATATCTTAGAAAAAAAAATGATGTTTGGCTGACTCACGTGCGCGTGGAATGTCACACTTTCTGCCCCTGAAATTGGTTTGCACAAATTCCTCTCTCACCTACCACCATTCACTGCTCTGAATGATGAGTTACTTCTCTGAGATGTTTTACTAAGTTGTAAAGATACTGGACATATGTTGCGTGCAGAAAAATTAAAATTTTCTTCAAATATTGATTCCCAGTCGTTTCTGTCTTAAAAGGGAAGATATGCCATTGTTTTCTATTTAAAATCTTTGTTTTAAAATATTTTTCCAACGATGAATATTAACAACACGAATGGTTCCCGCCCCTTCGTCCTGTACATTTTCTATTAATCTAAAGTATACTTTGCCTGCTGTTCTAAAATAGGAATCACAGACACAAGATGAAAAAATGAATTATAATTGTCTTATTTAATGTTTTAATCGTGATGTATCATGATGAGTAAAATTTGATTTGTGACGGGAATTTTATAAAGAAAGCATAACAGCCGAAAAAATAATGATTCAACTATCTACTGTATGACCAATGTAGCGATACCTCACCAAATAAATAAATTTATTTATCTTCGCGTGCTTTAATCTTGTAGAGTAGCGTTGTGATAAGAGCAGCATCTGATGTCATTGAAAAAAAAACGAAATTATAATGATGAAAATCTTGAGTAAAATGATTACTTACAAATCTTGGTTTTTCGAGTCATCAATAAACGACGACCGAAAATATAACTCTCAAATCTCTAATCTATGCCGTGAACTTTTAACTGAAAATTCTGCTTTTTTAAATGCGAAGATAATTAAGAAGTCTCTCACTAGCGTTGGTTAGTGAACATAGATTGATTTTGTTTGTTTAATTTCTACAATTGTATATTATTTTGCCGCAAAGTAATTATCTTGTCTAGCGCAATCAGTTTAATTTATTGAAAACTATAAAGTATGATCAACTGGTGAATTTGTAGAAGAATGAAAGGTCTTTGATCATTAAAGCCATAAGCTGTAGCACTTTTTCAGTGCTTTCACATCCTTTATTTTTAGCTTTGTCGACTACAGAGAGATAAGGAAAGAGAGTGCCCGAGAAGGCTGATTTCATCTGAAGTTCTTTATGAATAATCGCTTTTCACATGCTCAAAACAGAAAAGCAAAATCTCGTGTATCAGATATTATCGACCAAAGACAAAGTTCTTTATCAACATCCATATGAGTTATAATTGATCTTTTTTGAAGCTGAAAAAATAATTGAATATATATGTTCATTTAATAAAAAAAAACTTTGACCTAGTGATTTTACTAGATTTCTACTTTTTCTTTTGTATTTATTATTGTTTTCCTTAATAAGCTTACCCATCGATTGCATACTACCGTTGATATGTTGAATAGATGAATTCTTATGACAAGTTCCTATACAAAATCAACGCAATGCATCATACAAATCAATGGCGTGTAAAACGTCATCTGAATTAAAAGCAGTATTGACTTCAAAAACAATCACCAGCAAGTTGTTCAATAATTTCTGTGCGGATTGCTCGTGGGGAATTGTTCAATTTTTGTGTGAAATTTAAATTCTACAAAAGTAAATTTATTTGTACATATAAGAGAGAGAGAGAGAGAATACTTCATTTCTGTACAGTATTATGAGCTTGTCATAATTTTGAAAGAGATCAACTAATGAAAAGTCATGATCAAGAAGAAATTGAAGAAAATTTATTCGATTTCGAACAAATCATTTAAATCCACTAACAACACATGACAATAAGAGTATATGGGCTAGAAAACATCGTTATATTCATGATTTCACTAACCTTCCAATCTCCTTCATGTGTCATAATAACAAATTTAACAATATCAACTTGATTCCATTCAAGTACCAAATAGAATTGTTCACATTTTTGTTCAATAATATTTTTCGAAGAGTCATTGTCAGAAGTTGTTAAAAAATATGATACAGAATTGGACGCAAAAAGCAACAGTAATACTTTTTTCTTTTGCCTTTGAGTAATGCCTGCAAAATATTCGACGCATATCTGGTTCGATTCGACTATGTAGATTAAAATTAATAATATTTTTCGTGCTTGAATACATTCATAGATCAATTCAAAATAATCTATGTCAACATTTTCACTCGATGTTGTTTTATCATGATTTATTTTGAGCTTTTGACTAAAAAACAAACAACGATACCAAACAGAATTGATGAACACTATACAACAGGGTACATCTGATGAGAATATATCAATGAAGATCGCTCACTGTTGGAAGAGTATGTGATCGAACACAAGAAAACTTGTTTCGTGCTACTGGAAGAAAAAGAAATTTTTCCAGGATTTGGGAATGACTCCCTTGCTATCCAGTTCGAATTAATCTGATGGTAAGCTTTGATAAACAGATCACAACATCTCTCTGTGCCCTCAAGCAATAAGCGACGGCTTTTTCGAATCAAGTACGAAATTCAATATCACTAATATACATACTTCATATTCCATAATCGATCAAAAATAAATTCTGTGTAATTTGGTTCTAAAGATGCTTTATCATTTTGAAAATTTCTTGGCTTAGCATAATTCACATTAGTACCATGAAGACATTTTTTGTAAACTTACAATTAAATGAATTGGTCGAGATCAGTCAGGATTCATTCAAAAAACCTTGTTGATCAGTTTATTAATACTCGTATTAATATCATCAGTAATAATCCAAGCATTTGAAGGGAAAAAACGAAGAAAAATGAATCAATTATTTCAAATTATCAAACATCCTTTGGCATTTTCTGTTATTGAAATAATTAAAGGTGGACGCTAAGTTAAGACAAAACTGAATGAGTATCAAAGAAGAAACAAATATATAATTTTACTTTATCACAATATCATTGAATGAGAAACTCTTTCACCTCAGTGGCAGAGGTGTTCGGTAGTACACGAATAAAGTTTGCTTTATCCGATTGAGTATAATTAAGTGTAAAAAAGAAATAATATAATATCCATGCTTTTTCTTTTTCATGATATGCACACTAAGAAGTAATTGTTCCATGTGATTTAAAACCAAGTTTGTTGAATAGCTACGCAATCATATGAGACGTTAACAAGTGTAAAAGCAATAGAAAAAAAATCATCTTCTCACATAATTACTTTCAGATTTGAGATGAAATGTTGACAAAACAATCAACGATTGATGTTAAATCGGTCAAGATAACTGTCATGATCCAACTGTTGAGTTACTTGCTTGTAGTCTCAACGAGCTTTGTCTAGAAAAAAAATTGCAATTGAAACCTACCAATTTCTATCTCCGTCCTAGATGGAGTAGTCTAGAATTTGCAAAACACTAATTAATTCATTTTGTTTTTGTGTGTCTGTAACACGTTAAATCCACTTGTCTTTTCTATGCAGCTTTTTGTCTTATTCATCGACTTAAAGACATTTTAATCAATAGCTCTCGCGACTGCGTCGTGAATTGAAATATAGGGTGTGGGTCGGTCTAATTTAGAGATACAAAACGTGAACCCTTTTTTCTTTGTTCTGCTAGGACATTCTTTTTCCTAAATAATAAACTCGTACTCAAAATAACTCTCTAAACATTTAATGTAGAGGCCGGAGCTAGTCTTGATTATTTATATATTTTACAAATACAGTTTGGAATAGCTTTCTGATTACATTTCAAAATCTTCTCACTCTTAAGTTTTCTTATACGAAACTCAACTCATTCAGTTGCTAGTAAATGTTCAAAACGCACTTATGATCTGACCGTGTTGAATTGCCGATATTTTGGCACCGAGCTCATGAACTGACAAGCGGACTAGTTCTTCAACTGATAATGCGGATCAGAGGGTGAAAGTACACGTAGGTCTCCCAACATTTAGTATTCCTTTTATATTAATACAAAATTAGTTAAACTTATATTATTGACATAAAATATTTTATATTGTAAAAAATCTACATAAATAAAACATTATAAATCAATAATTAGTATCTTTATCAAATAGATTTTAATTGAACATGAAGTGGGATGTCACATATGGATATCAATATCGATGTGCGTATGAATTTGTTTTTATTTACAACAACTTCCTTAATCAATTCGAAAAATTTATTTTGTAAGTTGGATATATTATACTACCAAAGAAAGAGCAACGATTATCTAGAATACACTATAAACCGGATAGCTTTTCAATTAGACATATGTTTTGAAAAATCGTTCCTTACACTTTCTTCTGCCTTTTACATAAGTTATACATGAAATCAAAAGGAAACTACACCTTTGATTGTATCTGTTTCCAATACAAATAATTGTCATAGAACACATATGGCGATGCCAGATCGTACAGTCAGATGCATGCTATAACTTCTACCGCGTTCCGAAATATGACCAAACAAGTCTAGTTTTTGAATCCAACAGAAAACAACGGGTATTATTTTGCCACCAAGTCTGCTGCGGATCATTAGGTTCCACAATAGCCAAACATTTCAAGTCCGAACAGCACTCGCTAAGAGTTCTCAACCGTCACAATAAGCCAATATCGTAATTTGTGCACAAGTAATTTTCTTGCCATGACGTTTTACCTTCGAGCATTAGGAAATACGATTGATTATTTAAGTATGATGAAGCACTGAATCGGAATTGAAGCAATTCATGTCATAGTGACTGATTTAATTGGTATGCTTTTATGAATAATCACCGATAAATTTAGCTATTTCAATACTTGCTTGTAATGAGATTTCACGAAATGTAGCTGCATACACAACTATCATAAAACAAATAAAAATGACTGTTTGTAGTATGACACACATATGTTGTTCTTGAAAAAAGAAAACGTTAAAGAGCATATACAAATCAACTCTCTTCTTATACCTCACATTATTTACGGCAAAATTTACTGCAATAGTTTCTACGTAGACTTATGTCAAAGATTCGATTCTTGTAGTGATAAATTTCAATTTATTTATTAAAATTTTCCATTTAATGATTCAACTATTTAAGTACTCAACTATTCAGGTCCTCCCATTTACAACACACGTAGGGTATTAGTGCAGGTCTCGATATTGATCTAGGCTGTCATTATGATTTCGATGTGATCGAGAGTTTGGATGTCAATCTTCGTTTCATCCGCACAGGTACTTCACATCCACATTCACACCCTAATTTAATTGAATTCAGGTCAAAGCAAAATAAATAAATGAAAAATATTTCTATCCCACAACTTAAACGGCTGAAACTATTAGCATGTATAAGTCCCATTTAGTGAATTATTTATATAAAGTTTCAAGTCGAAAGCCAATCTTTGGAATGATGTCAGATGAATTAAACGATGTCTCTTTCTTAAAACCATTAACAGATGCCGTTCTTCACCAATGACATTCATATGAAATCTTGACTCAATGAATAAATCCAAAATATTTTTACATGATATAATGGAGCACTGGAAAAAAACATAATTATCATATGTTCATCATCGAAATCCGCATCTTTTTGTCATTTTGCCAAGACGCACGTCGATTTAAATTATAGAAGGCAGCATCACGAAAACGTTTTCAGTCCACAACATGTTTTCGAAAGTCTGCTCCTAATTGAAAACTTCATTCCAAAGTACGCTAAATATAGAATTTTCTGAAATTTAAATTATCGTATATAATTCATTGCCTCGAAACCATGTATCAACTGCATAGCTGAAGCAGAATCTGATAACAATATGTGTATTCTGTGCTGTCTGGCATCATACCACTTCAAGGTGATCTCTGGACGATTCCAGAGTTTTGCTGAAAAATTCTCTAAAGAATCTTTTTCTGAGACATAAAATACTGCGTTATTAGCTTCAGTATTTATAGGGATTGTTCTGATACAATAATGCACGCAGTAATATAGTTCACAGAATCGAGTCGAGAAGGAACAAGAACACCCAAGAAACTAACAATTCATCAAGTACAAGAAAAAAAAGTCATGATATTTGGTTGAATGCATATATCATCGGCATACAATGCACAAAAATAAGAAAAATGAAGCACGAATGCAAGACGAATTCGGTCTGAAAGCAAATATTCACGTATAAATTCAAAAAAAAACAATAAAATTGACATCAATCTGATTAATATATGTCTTTATTTGTGGATGATAATGCATGAGACTTGTCATTTGAAGATTAGTGTAATAATAAAAACAAAGGAAAAACAAGAACATGTTTCTACCAACCATTTGTATATCGTATATCACATTCTTCTAAAGCTGGTAATTTTTCCTAGAATAATTCAGTAGTTCTGTTTGAATAAAATGTTTATATCTTCAAATTTATACTTTTAAAGCCACTATTGTTATAGGAGATAAATTTGTTGAATTTTAAATAAAGTTTTCGTACCATTTTCATGTCTATAAATATTCAAATAAACAGCATGGAAAGCGTAAAAGAAAAACGAAAATCATAACCTTACTTGCTAAATAAGTAAGACCTTTATCCGTCACTGATGTTTCACATAAATTAAGTACTTCTATTTGATTTAAATGTTCGGAAATTAATTCTAAAGCAGTATCACCAAACTAAAATAAAATAATATTTAATAATACTAGTTTTTAATGAAAATTTTCATTATCCAACTCACTTGTGTTGACCATAAATTTAAATATCTTAATGCTGGTAATTTAATTAAATGTTCGACACAAGCATTTGTGACATTCGTAAATGCTAAGCTTAAAGATTCAAGATTACCATATGAACCTTTTGATAATAAGCTTGCTAAATCATTATCAGTCCAAGGTGATGGTAATGTTAATTTTCTTGGTCCACCTTTCTGTTGTAACTCTTGTAATGCTCTCTGTCTTTCACATACTTTTGCATACATTTTTAACCCATTGGGTGTCGATCCCAGTGTTGATATTAATTGTAACTTATTATCATGATTTTCAACTGCATCGAAATCGAGCATTGCACATACAGTCTGAATGAATTTTATTTTCTGTTTTCCGAATATTCAATAATTTAATACTTACATCTAATGAACTTTGACTTTCACGTAATGCAAGTAACATTAAAGATGGTAATAATTTGTTAATACGTAATAAGAAACTTTTTTTCAACCACAACATGAAATTAATTTACTGAGCTAAAAAATCCAAAGAAGAAGGAAAGAAAATGTTCTTTTATTTTAAAAAAGTTTCTTTACCATTAATGCAAACATTTCACCATTATCATCACAAACAATACCACTCAAACAAAACATTTCAAACCAGGGTGTGAGTGTGGGTATGGGTGTGAACATTCTGTTCATTCACCCAATACGCACATTCACACCCACACACATCCACCGACACTCACACTCACACCCCATGCCCACATCCATACGCGCCTTTCTTTGCTCTGCAACATGGGATATTTGGTTTTTCAATCTTGAATAGGTCATCTTGTTCGACAGCGTCCTTTTCTGAATACTCTTATAATTTATGTATGTGTCAAAAATTCAAAACAACCAGGCTTTTTTCGGTCCTCACTGTATGGCATAATCCTTACTATTTACTTCTGATAAATCCCGTTTTTGACGCTCTTTAATTTGATATAAAACTCGTTGTTGATTCTCCTTAAAACCACAGAGTTACTTCCTCGAAAGTTATTCTCTCCTATCTAATAACTGATAAATGTTTTGAACATAGTGGGATCCAGCGTTTTCCTATTCGATTAAGTGTGTTCTTTCCAAGTATGAATGCTTTATCGATAAATGAGCTAGTATTGACTATTAAATTTTTGACATTTGAAATAGCAAAAACTATGTGCACATTGGCATCGAAATATGAATATAGCGAGGATAAAAAGTTCATGAATAATCTTACGCGTAACATGCAGTTACTATAATCAGTTTGTCTGTTATTCATCACATTAAAAAAGATCAATATTATCTGGAGTACCAAAATAAGCAACTTCTCCTTTTTCCAACATAAGAATACGATCGCTATTGGCTACTGTATTCAATCGATGTGCAATTGTCAGTATGGTACGATCACGAAACGTTTCAGAAATAACCTCTTGAATCATTTTATCTGTCGTATGATCAACATTTGCTGTAGCTTCATCAACAAGCAATATATGACTTCTCTTGAGAATGGCTCGTGCCACACAGATCAGTTGGCGTTCACCAACACTCAAATTGCCACCCGATTCAGAGACCAATAGATTGAGTCCATTGGGATTATTGCGAACCAACTGTTTAAGTTGAACAGCCTCAAGTGCTCGAAGACATTCCTCATCAGAGACTTGTTCGAATGGATCAAGATTGTATCGAAGTGTACCACAGAAGAGTATCGGTGCTTGTGGAATAACACTCAGGTGAGAACGAAGATAATCAAGCGAAAGTTTACCAATATCAATATCGTCGATAAGAATAGTGCCGGTGATTGCCATTTGATCAGCAAGTCGAAAGAGAGCCTGAAGAAGTGATGATTTTCCAGCACCTAAACAAAATAGCGATCTTGTTTATCCGAATTCATCAATTTATATCTAAATTAGTTTTCTGTAAATTTTTCAGCTATAGAGAAATATCTCAAAAAATTCTTCAAAACTTCGAATGAATTCATCTATACAATAATTAAGATTTGCAAATAAACTTTTTACTTATTCAGATTTCAACTACCATATTCGAATCCTGCTAAGATTGACACATGATTTTTGTTTCATTTGCCTTCTAATGAGCAAAGGTACTGTTTAGTTATTTCTCAACCGTTTTAACTGAAAATGTTTGATATAATGATGCCTTTCTAATTATGGAATTGCGTTACACAATGAGCCAATAGATTTTCAAGAAATTGACATTCGCTTTCCTCGTGACCTTGATTAAGAAAATATCTGCTAAGGAAATCGATAAATGTCCAGCTTAATTCAACTTTGAAAATATTTTTTCAATTAGAATTCCTATCCTAAATTTGAGGCCTTTGTCTAAGGAGGAGGAGATATTCACAGGTGAAACATCGCTTTAGGAGTGTAACTCTGATTATTGAGGAGATCACATTGATATCAGAAGATGCCCATAAAGAGGGTATGTGTAGAAAAGGTCGCAATAAAATGTCGAACGATGAAAACCTCAATGATAGTTACGTGGAAAATGTTAATGTATGATAGTTCATACGAAAACCTTTTAATTCTATATTTTCTGAATATCAATGATGATAATGACCATCTATTGTCTTCAAGAAAACATCTACAAGTGTGGTGCACACATAGATATCACATCCAACTGCTTGACGCATTCAATGTTGTTTCATTTTAATTTCTTTATATTTTTTAAAGACAATACCATTTAATACTAGTAAAAGCTTGCCTTTGTTGGAGATAAGAAAGTATGGATTATCATTGGTGACGGACATGAATTAAATGACAAGAGAATCTTTAAGAAAAACAAATTCTTCTGTTAATTCTTTTGTTGGTCAATGGTAATCTTTCTTGTTATTCTGATAATCGTATCGTACCATGAACACTTACCAAAAATCTCATAAGACAGTGATGAATACCAACAAACTACGGCTCAATAGTAAATTTTCTATTTATTCCATCTTCAAACTATTCGACATTTTTTTCGACCTTTTTTATGCCATTCATAAAGAATCTTCACCATACATGGTACTTCTCGATTTATGATCATTGTAATGGATTTTCTAATGTATGACAAGATGTTTCTTAAAATCTGACACTAAAGAATTTTGATTAGAATATAGTCCATGAATAGTCTCTTGATTCTTAGAATATGGTGTCAACTTCAGCTAGTATTGATGTCAATATGGAGAGATAGTATGTGTTCAAAGACTGAATTATTTTACAATAGGCTAGCAAAGCCTACCTTTCTTGAATATCTAATATATGGGTAAACAAAAAGAATACTTTTATTGAAACTATTGCTGCATTCTAAGAACCATGAGATCTAATGATGGAAAGTTTGCCACTTTAAATTATTTAGTTTGGGTTTCCATGAAACATGCTTTCAGTGATGACAGTCCGATCAATATAGCTGGAATTGATTCGAAAGTAAACATGCATAGATCAGATTGTCGAGGTCTCAGACACGAAATTTCAATACCTTCGAAGAGGATTTTTATCGTCTTTGATACAAGTCCTATACGATTCTGCGGGTACGTTCTGAAGGTAATGCAGACTAATGTGATTATAAACCGAATTTTCATTTGATCTTAGAGTAAGTTATGAAGTTTGTTATCAAAAATAATTAACAGAAACAGCTGATAAAAAAGGACTATAGTTTGCCACGGGACACGAACAGAAAGTCTCTGAAGTAAGGCAATATGAAAATGCAGTAAAATTGAAGCAGCTAGTGACCGGCGACTTTGCTCGCTTGACAGAAGATTTCCGAGAACGTCACTCTATATTTTAATAACTGTTTTAATTCTTTTTTTGACCGTTTCGAAAATAACTTCACGATATTTTATTGCGATTGTTTTTTCAATCATATGAAGTCTTGTGATCGGAGAATTGTTTTTGTCTTTCACTTTCAAGCAAGATAAAGACATTGTCTTGAAAGATCAAAAATAAGTCAGCTGATATTATGTCACGTCAAATTCATGCCAAAACGAATTTCGTTGCTGTAATACAAAAGGGTGTTTATTGTTATTTTGTAGAGTGATTTAAAGCTACTAAGCTCATATTTTCGCAATATGTTTCTTTTGCGCTAGATTAATGCAAATGTTGTACGTCTCAGAAATGTATACTGATTACTCCATAGATAATTAATTATATTACCTATATTTGGAATTCCGGTTTTCCTGAGGTCAAGATAAGTAGAAGACTAAGATCCCAATATTGGCATGTCATACAATAGGAATTCCTAGCTTTGTTCATAATAAAGTCTATCATATCACTTTCCTAATCTACACAATACCTAAAGATGATCTATCCTATTCATTGGCTATTCTATATTAAAGAAGCAAAGTAGCCATACCTGTTCGACCGATAATTCCAATCTTCTCTTGTGATTCAATGCGAAGATTCAGATTTTTGAGCACAGGATCAAGCTCTGGTCGATAACGAAAAGTGTAATTTTTAAATTCAATTATACCACGAGAAGGCCAATCATTTGGTGGCTGAATAAATCCTTTGCTTCCATGTATTTTTTTATCATTTTCTCGAACAAGTTGGCCATATTCATGAATACGTTCAGCACTGGTCATAAAAGTTTCAGCTTCGGCTGACTGTCGAACAGCCCATTGAAAGATATCTACTATAGTAAGACAATAGGTCATACTAAGTGCTGCCGCTGAGTGATCGATTCTGTTACGCACCGCTACTGCAAGAATCGAAGTAGCCAAAGTGAGTAAGGATGCCATGAGATCGAGTCGTAAACCGAACCAACGTCCCATAGCAGTAAGAAGAAAGTAAGCTCGTGAATTTGAATCGATTCTTTTCGTAAACATATCCATAAAATCAGCTTGAACGTTGAATGCACGAATACTAGTGAGGCCATCTAATGATGACGAGAACAATGTATAGATTGGACTCCGTGATATACTTTCAAGTCGTTTGAGTTGACAACTCGAACGTAGAAAGAACCGACGAATCCACCAAAATGCCGGAGTCAATGGAACTAGAATTAAAAGTACCCATGGATTGATTGTTCCAATAATAACAACAGAACCGAAAATTGTCATGATCATTTGCATAGTATCGATCACAGCAAGAGGTAACGATTCGTCTAATACTTGTTGATCTTTGCTTGCTCGATTTAATATTCGTCCGCCGGGATTACTTTCAAAGAAACGTAATGAAGTATACAAGACACCTTTTAGCATTCGATTATGAAAATAGGTCGCTCCACTTAATAGGATATAGAACATGTAGAAGGCACGTACTAATGCAACAACCAATGTACCCAATGTCAATCCAAGATAAATAGAAGCATCCACTGATGAACGTTCATGTTTTTCGACTTTCTCAGACCAAATAGCAAGCCAACGATTTGTAGCATCGAATAGAGCTTCGGCGGCAAATATTAAAACTATTAGAAGAATAAATCCAAACCAACGTAAAGGTGGTGCAATAAATAGTTTCAACCAAACATTCCACTTGACTGCTCCATCAATTGACGCTTCATCTTGTACAATCGAATTTATATCAGTTACAGCAGTGTTCAATGTCCAATCGGTCTGATTATTGTTGGTTGAATCTACTTCTGCCGTAACATTTAACTGCTCATTTAGAGTAGATTGTACAATATGTAATTCATCAATGTGACCATTTTTCAATACAATAATTTGATCTGCTTCAACAAAGAAATGTGTTTGATGTGTAACCAATATTCGAGTCTTTTCACGAAGGAGACTACGTGGGCCAATACATTCATCAAAAATTTTCTTTGCTACTTTTGGATCAACGGCAGCGAGTGGATCATCGAGTAAGTATAAATCTGCATCAGTATACAGAGCACGAGCAAGCGATATTCTAGCTTTTTGTCCTCCACTCAAATTGACACCTTTATCACCGACCATCATTAAATCACTGACTTCACCAAAATTTCGTAGATCGATATCAAGACAACATGCTTTTATGACATTCCTATAACGTTCTTCATCCATTGGTTTACCAAGAAGAATATTAGCTCGAATAGTATCCGCAAATATCCATGCCGATTGTGGAGCGTACGAAATAGAATTGACATATTGTCTTAGTTTTCCACTGATAAGATTCATTTCACCAAGAATGGCAGCTAGTAAAGATGATTTGCCGGCACCAGTAGCACCTTTAATTCCAACTAGCGTGCCAACTTTGATGGTGCCATTGAGATTAGACAAGCAAGAAGAATCTTTCCATGAAAATGATGCATTTTCCATAATGATTGCATCATCTCCCTTTTCGTTTTGTTCTTTGTCTCGCTTGTCCACCAACGTTTCCAATTGCAGAAACTGATCAATTCTTTTTGCAGAAATACGAGCCTCACTGAGCTTTTCAATAGCATATGGGAAATGTGCGGTTATTGGCATTCGAATCAAAGCAAAGAAGGACATCGCCGTAAAAATATCTTCTGATATCAACTGTCGACCCATAAGCCAACTACCACCGAATGTAGCTAGAGAAATTAAAGGTAATGATGCGAAATTGAGACCAATATTGAGAGCTCGTAAACAACTCGATTTGAAAATGTTTGAAAATTCAGAATGTCGTGCTTCACGTACTCGTCGCTCCATTGCTTTTTCCCAATTGTACATTTTAATAATTTGACATCCATTAACAATTTCATGAACCGCTTGAATACGCTTGTCCGTATATGTCATTGTTGCCGCTCGATATTGACCGAATAATTTACTGAATACGAGTTGTATTGGTACATATAGTATGAGTAGAGCATAACCAAACAATGTCGGCAAACCAATGATCCACCAAATAAGACCAAACATCACAAGTGCTTCAACAGGTGTCACCCAAAAATAATAGAAGTACAAACCCAAATCTTCAAATTTACTTGCATCATTTGCTATTAAATTGATTGTTTGAGCAGCAGTAATATTGTGTAGTGATGCTGTATTGATCGTCAATAAATGTTTATAGATGATGGATGATAAAAAATTGCGAACGCGCACACCTATACGTCTACCATGAAAGAAGATTTGATGCATTAGAATAACTTGTAACACCGAACAACAGGAAATAGCAATAGCCAATAGATAACCAGCGTATGTAGGCCATGTTGTTTGACCTTTAATGAAGAGAACAGTTTCACGAATGATCAATGGCTGTGCAATACGAGCCGCAGTATATGGAACTATGAAGACGATGATCAGAAGATAATCTTTCAAAAAACCTTGCTTAATGACATGCCATGTTCCCGGCCATTTAGAACTATCGCAATTCACTTTGTTCAACAAAACGGAACACTTATCATGAACTGGTATATCTTCGAGATCGTCATCGACAATTGTGCGTCGATAGCCTAGTGATAAAAGAGGTTTGATCCACCACCAAAGTGCCACGTAGAT